AAGGTGAAAGAGGATCCAAAGACGAGCATAGAAGAATCAGAGAAGCAAAAAGATCCTAAATGCTCTGATTATTATTATTTTTTTTAAAAAAATTGATTTCCCCTACAAAGGAACTGCAGAAAAATCTGTTTTTTGCAAGCTTGCAAAAGAAAAGACGATGCAGCAAAACCAGACGGTGTCCAGCTTTCACAGACGCAGCGCCTCCACTCAGGTGATAGCTTTTTCACATCCTTCCCCTGAGAATTCAAGATAGCAACAATTTTGGATCATCTCTTTATCTTCCTCCTAGCCGCTCCGACACTTCCACCAGGAAAATCATGGCAGCCAATGACTCAAGCCATAACGAAGAGGAGTTTTTGAAACCTTTCTACGCCATCATGTACACCATCATCCTGGTTCCTGGGCTGATTGGGAATGTGTTGGCTCTCTGGGTCTTCTACGGATATATGAAAGAAACTAAACGGGCTGTGATTTTTATGATCAATCTGGCAATTGCAGACTTGGCCCAAGTTCTATCGCTGCCACTAAGGATTTTTTATTACCTGTCCAACAGTTGGCACCTGGGGAAGGAACTTTGCATGTTTTGCTTCTACCTCAAGTACGTCAACATGTATGCGAGCATCTACTTCTTGGTTTGCATCAGTGTGAGGAGGTTCCAGTTCCTCATGCACCCTCTGAAGTTCAGTGACTGCAAGCGCATCTACGACATGTACATCTGCATTGTTGGATGGGTTATGGTTTGTGTTGGCTGCTTAGCCTTCCCTCTCCTGCGTCTTACCTCCAACGAGACCTGCGCCAACAATAAATGCTTTGCGGACCTGCCCTTGAACAATGCAGATGGACCCATCCCAATAGCAATGTTGTCCCTAGGTGAGCTGGTTGGCTTTGTGACCCCTCTGTTGATCATCTTGTATTGTTCCTGGAAGACCATCTTATCTCTCCAAGAGAAGAACTCTGTTTCCCAAGACCTTGGGGAGAAACAGAAAGCTTTGAAGATGATCCTGACTTGTGCCATTGTATTTTTGATTTGCTTTGGGCCTTATCACGTCAGCTTCCCTCTGAATTACTTGGTCAAGTCCCAAACGATAGAAGATTCTTATGCCCGAAAGGTTATTTTGGTCTTCCACGCAATTGCCTTGTGTCTTGCCAGTTTAAATTCATGTCTCGACCCTATAATTTATTACTTTACCACAGATGAGTTTCGAAGGCGGCTTTCGAGGCAAGATTTACAGGACAGCATTCAATTTCATAACATGCGCTGTGGACGTGCAAAGGAGCCATCGGAAATAAGTATAGTCGAGGCTGAGTGATCGATAGGAAACTCATATTATGGATGGGGTGGGGCTGATAACATCTTTATTTGATGCCATGATAACTTAGGGGGGAAATCACATATTTTAAACATTTCACTATCATACTCCTCCAATTGGCCCATATAGCAAGCATGGGGATAAAACTCAAAATAATGCTGTCTTGTTTAGTTTAACATGGAATAGAGAGAAGCCTAGATAGACTTTCAACATTCTGATATTGTTGTAGCCTTCCAGCAGAGCTGGCAGCAGATTCAGACAGTGAGGAGTTTGGGGAGGAAGATGGGCAAGTCCTGGAGTCTGGGGAAGGCTCTGATGAGGGCTCTGCATTGGAGGCAGAGAGGGGGCCAGAGCCATAAGCCAGTTATCAGCTGCCTTCAGAGTCAATATCAGTGAGGCAGA